AATGCACTAGATGCACTAGATGCACTAGATCACTAGAGCACTAGATCACTAGATGCACTAGATGCACTAGATCACTAGATGCACTAGATGCACTAGATCACTAGATGCACTAGATCACTAGATGCACTGCGCGGTGATATTACAACACATGACAGCCCACAGTAGCAGTAGACACTGTATTAACATATCTCTATTACAGCACGGTAGCAGGGACGTTGTATGCGCGAGGCGTCATGGCAAGACTTCATATGCCTGCTAAGCAGTCATCTTATGGTTGCTCAGCCATCTGTGGTATTTCATGAGAAGGCGGCGAGCATCAACTAAGCAATACTGAAGCCAGTCTCTTCCGCATCGCCACTCGAACGATGCGCAGCTTCACTAGACAGCAGCATATAGTAGTAGTAACAGCAACAGCAGCAACAGCAGCAGCAGCAGTTGTACCATCATCATCATCATCATCATCATCATCATCATCATCATCATCATCATCATCATCATCTTGCCCGTAAGCATCGTTAGAGCCGGTCATGCATATGCTGCCCACCGCCCCCCTCCTCCCTCCCGCATATCCAATGCCAACACCCTTTCCTTTCGCCACAACCTTCTCCTTCATCACCGCATCCTTCCTTATATACCTTTTCCTCCTCCACCTCCTCTTCCTCCACCCCTCTTCCTCCTCTTTCTCTTCCTCTTCCTCCACCTCCTCCTCGTCATGCTGCTCCTCCTTCTCCTTTTCCTCCTCTACCTCCTCCTCCGCTTCGTCCACCTCCTCCTGCTCGTGCTCCTCCGCCTTTTCCCCATCCTCCTCCTCCTGCGGCGCGCTGCCGTTAATACACGACCCCGTTCTTCTCTCTCTCCGATTCTTCTTTTTCCTCTTCCTCCTCATCTTCCTCCTTCTCCTCCTCCTCCTCCTGCCCCTCTTCTTCCTTCGCCCATCGCCGCGTATCGCACGTACGCGCATAAGACACGCACTCCCTCGCCATCCGCTTACACGCGATCAATGCAGCAGTAGTAGTAGTATAGTAGTAGTAGTAGTAGTAGTAGCAGTAGTGGTAGTAGTGGTAGTAGTAGTAGTAGTAGTAGTAGGAGGAGGAGTAGCAGCAGCAGCAGTAGTAGTAGTAGTAGTAGTAGTAGTAGTAGTAGTAGTAGTAGTAGTAGTAGTAGTAGTAGCAGCAACAGCAGCAGTAGTAGTAGTAGTAGTAGCAGTAGTAGTAGTAGTAGTAGTAGTAGTAGTAGTAGTAGTAGTAGTAGTAGTAGTAGTAGTAGTAGCAGCAGCAGCAGCAGTAGTAGTAGTAG